CTTCGAAGGAGCACGTCCTGCGAAACCTTCGAGAGCCTTTGGCCCTCTCGGAATTTCACTATGAATTCCTCGTATTATATTAAATAGAATTATACAGAAAATATGATATTATATATATTAAGCACAAAGTTACCTGTATCCGTATATTCCTAAGATATTTCTAAATTGTTTCTCGGTTAGTATTTTGACTTCATGAATCATTTTTGTGAAATTAAAATCCTTCTTTCGAAAAAGAAGGATAGTGTTGTAGAAAATTATCGAGAAGAATGTGTTAAATAGCCTCTCGCGACGTCATTAATTGATTTGATTTTTGTTAATAATTGCTTAATAAATGTTAATCCTAATCCGTATTCACTTCGAAATTTCCCATTCGCGGATCCAATATTATTATTTAAATTAATGTATGTTTATCAATTCTCTTATTGGACCGTTAAATTTCAAACCAAATGAGACAATGCCACAGCGGTCTAAGCTGGAAACGCAACACTAATAAACTATACCTTAGTAATATCACGAGTTAAATTGACTAATAATTTAACGATTATTTATGCTGTTTACGCATCTTATATCGATCTTAACAATGTTGAATAACCTATTAAAAACTGTGAATAATTAACATAATGGATTTTAAAGATCAAAATTAGAAATAGACCCAAGTCGAGAAATTATGCGAATATCAACGATATGCCGCGTAAAACGCGTACCTGGAAAAGCTAGGAAGAAAGAAAATTTCAGAAAAATTTCCGTCCCCCCGTTGCCTACGCGACGTCGGAGCGTCTCGACGCGTTGACCGTAGACGTGCGTCTCCAAAAAGTAAATAAGCCGTGAAATATTGCACGCTCGCGGCGAACGAGCGCGAGACGGGAGAAGGTGGGCGCGGGTGGCCCTATTATCCATCACGAGGACTGTCAGCCCCAGGTGGGATAAAGTCGACGGTGTATCTCGTCGAGACGTTAGCCCTCGATACATCGAAGAGCACGAAGAGACGACGGCGGCGTTCGATTACATCCCCTCGGTGCCGAGTAAAAAGGATCCGACGCGATCGCGCGCGTAATCTCTCCCTTTATAAAAATTCCGGGGGGTAAGAAAAAGCGTGGGTATGACACCGGGTGCTCGACACTGCTCGGCAATAATTCGTTATACTTCCAAGTCATTATTTTGTCGACGTGGCTACGAGATACTTTGATACATTAATATCTCCGTAAATGCTCTCCGCACGACAGCATTATAGCTTTCTTTCCTTCATCTCTCACTCGCAAAGTAATATTTATAAACAAGATTGTCATAAATTTTTCATCCTAGGATGCGTTAGAAAACTAGACTCTGTCAACTTCGTATTTTTCATCCTTGTTCAACATTTGGTGAACAACAAGGATAAATGATACTTAGTTTTACATAATCGAGTTTTGAAACATCAAAATTCTATAATTTTTCCTGATTTCCCTTAGTTCTTTCATAATATTTTGAAAAAAAAATTGTTTCTCGTTTGATTTAAGAAAGTTTAAATTTCAAAAAGTTTTATAAAATTCCTTGATTTTTCTCTGATTTACCTGTGATTGTTTTCAATTTTCCCAACATTTTCCTAATTTGCAGTTTTGTGGCAACTAATAAAACAAAATTAAATTTTGCACTTACACGTCGTATATACCTAAAACAGTAATGTAATTATGAAATAACGTTTACATTCCATCTATGTGAAGAATGTATAAGAACATATAAAAATATTTAATGTGATTAATGGTATAAATTGATTGTGATATAATATGATTGATTATATTTGTAACGATTAATGCATATTATATAAAAGATTTGTGTACAAATGTTTTTTTTTCATGTTTTGTAATTTTGTTCACCGGAGATGTTTTCATTTTGTTTTACGTTGCCATATACTATAACAATCCCGATTAATCAATATCGCATGTTTTAATTAACTCATTCGCGTAATTGCACTACAGAAAATTCGTCTATCAGATGAAGCCGGACTAAGCGAATGCGAAAGAGCAGCAATGAACAAGCTATTTCGAGGAATGTGGTCAGTGCTATCTTACAGTCATTTGGTTATTCGCACTGGATTTAAAGGTTGCTTAATGCTATCAGATTAATACTATCAGATTAGAGATTGAGATTGAGATTGAATTTGACCAAGAGAAAAACCGCAATACCGAATTTAATAAATTTGCTTTGATTGACCAAATTCAATCTCTATCAATTTCAATTTCTAGTCTAATTATTACATGTATAAGTGTTTAAATGCGCGATTAGCTTCGTTGGCGATTTTGCGTTGAACTTTATATAATAAACTATTTTAACAGTGAAGTAATATATGTATATGTATATTTTATTAAATTACGTGATAATATATATATGTAACGCTTTTATATTTTTAACTTTGCTAATTTCATTGTGAATAGCAGCCCAAGAAGCACGCAATAAGCCAAGAGAGAGAGAGAGAGAGAGAGAGAGAGAGAGAGAGAGAGAGAGAGAGAGAGTAAAAATAACGTCATTTTGACGTAAATAAAAATTAAAATAATGTTTTATTTTAAAAACTAAACTTCTTGCACAGAGTTAATCTTTTCTCTTTTTCTCTATAATATTACAATAAAAAAACAACAATGATGAACATATGAATCGTGCAAAAAATTTAATTAAAAAACTTCATTTAAATATGATATAAGTCGCATAAAATTTACTTGACGAAAATGACGAAAACGATGTGTGTGGATACTTACTTCGCTTTTATTCGGCGAGACATCGATGGCTCAGTGCTACTCAACGTACGCCTCTCTCTCCTTAAACGAAATGAATATGAACATACAAAAAGTGCAAGTGACACGTAATTACAACACAAGTGCAACAGATATTAAAGCTATATACATACCGCGTATTTCACCTGTCGACGACCGGCCGGCAACCATTTTGAATCCGTGACCTTTCGCTCGTCTCGATCAAAGCAATCCTGCGAGAACATGGACCGATTGCGAAAAGCGCAATCTAATTAACACAGAGCGATTGCGTGTCGTTCAGCTAATCACGCGATATAATCGGTTCGCGCGCAATTCGCCAGATGAGAAAGAAATGTGAGAGATAATACGGAGTGACTTCGGCGCTTACACCAAACGATTCGCGAATCGGCGTGAATTGCACTGTAGGACGTTCGCGCGCGCAAAAACTTACGTCACTAACGCACCACTTGCCGCGCGTGACTCGCGCGCTACTTCACGTCTGTCGAGCGCGCGAACTGAGGAACAGATATGATCGTGAGGCAATAAAACGGGAGATAGTGCTGGTGGTTGTTCTTTGATGAGAATAAGCACTTTCTATTTTATAATATACTATCAATCTACATACGCGCGTCATCTAATAAATCATATACCTCTTTGAGAGTGCGAAAGTCTAGTTCTTCATTCGTAATTTTTAAATTCTTTTCATTTGAAAGCTATCATATAACCTCGACCTTTTTGTTTTAGGCTTAAAATATATTATAAAAACTGTCTTCAAAATATTTTATCATAAATTTTGAGATACTTTTGTATTATACATAATTAATTGATGTAAAATAGAATTTTATATTAAATTTATATTGAATTTGGTCCTATTTATACATATATATAATAAAATAAAATAAAATATAAATTAATATATAATATAAAAATATTTATATATATTCTTATGAATATTAAAACTCTATTAATACAGCACACTAAAATAACCGCTCCTATTAGTTCTCTTGCTAGAAATAATTTTTGCATTGTAGAATATAATATTAAAAGCGTCGAGAGAGCGAGATGGAACCGCGTTGACTTCAAAGGTTAACTTTTACGACGCATCCCTTGCCAACAAGTTTTTCTTGGTACTTTTTACGAGCCTTTCGAGCATCGTTCAGGGTGTTCGACACTTCTAATGGAGGGTGACGCGCGATGGGAGATATTTAATAGTCCAGCAGTTGAGCCTTTCTGCCTTTAAAGATCCATCTTTTCCGCAGGGAAATATCGACGAAAAAGTTCTCGTATATTTTTTTTCTCCCTTCTGCCTCTAGTCTTCTTTTTTAAAGAGCAAGTCACAAAATATATATTTTTACGTTGCAATTTATTACTGATACATTTTTAGATAAATTATAACAATAATAAATACAAAGAAAGCAATACTTTTATTCTATACACATATAATAAAATATTGCTAAACTATTCTCATTTATAATCGATACATGTATTTGCATGCATATTTATTATTGTTATTTGTACATTATTCCTTTCATTTAAATTTGAATATCGTTAATATTACTGCATCGAGTAAACTTCAAGAATAAATTGCATTGTGGAACAATGTAAGCATTCTTGTTTTAATATTTATAGTACCGATAATCTTTATGCATTATTGTTACTATTTATTACATTCTTAGATGGATTTATGTTCATGGTGCCATCTCTAGTTATGCATACGCTTTCAGTGCTCAGTTGGTATTTTAGTTTGAAACATTCGATTTTCAAAAATTTAAATATAACTTTTAACAATAAATAAACATATCAAAGAATCGATTGTGCAATATTTATTTTCAAAAATATTCATCTTTATTGAAAAACATTTCCCCGCATGTTTCCTCTTATAAAACAAAATTTAACGTCCTTTTGTTTAATAAAAGTCGTATATAAAATTGTTACATTTTTAAATTACTGATTTATAATTAAAGTTTTTAAAGATTATCAACTGTAGTTTTACAGTTACGCGCGATTGACTAAATTATTTAAGCAGCTATAAATTTTGTTTCCCTCTTTAATAAAATAGATTCCAATTTTTAATCACATATTTAAAAAAATAAAATAGGAAAATTCACATCAACAAATTCAATACACATTAAAACACAACATCGCATTTAAGTTTCTATTTTTCAGGTATACGTCTCCTACACAGATTTGGGGTTCGTGTTTGGAAAAAAATAATTTCATTTGAAAAATGAATGGACAAGAAAGGAAACAAAAAAAAAACACATCGATTTTTACGCGCCATGCATTTATTGATATAATAAATGCCGATAATAAAGATTATTTTAATCTTCTTCCTCTTCCGGTGCGGCACCACCGCTTCCCTTTCTCAAGTTCTTCCTCTTGACACGACCAGGTCTGCCACCGCCGAAGGGTGACTTGAGCGAGAAGTCGATGTGCTTCTGCGAGTCCAATCGCACGATGAACGATGGGATGTTTACCACCTGCTTGCGTACACTGCAACGAGGAATCATTACTGACCGTTCAATTTCTTCGAACTCGTGTCATAGAAACTGATAGTAAATTTTTTCATTACAAAAATCAGACTACCGAAACTTATTCCTTTCTTTCTCTCTCGACAAAAGTAGAATTTCGATCGACAGCTCAACAGGCGTTAAGTGCCGATGAACAACACTTAAGTGGCCTGCGCGAATCAAATTTTCGTTAAGTTAACAATTGAATTCTTGACTCATTGTTTGATCAACCAGGTCCGGTCGATCAGATGTCGTCCTGATACCTGAGCAATAGAATTTATTCGTCATCTTGTCTTGCGATATTGTATCGAATATTAATGCATTTTAATGCAAAATTTCTATTAGGTTTATCAGAGCGCCATACTTGATTTTTCACATTATGAAATACTTGAATAATTAAGTTTCTTACACTAAAACGTAATTTTGCAACATTCTGAAATTTAATTTCTCTTTCTGCTCTTTTAGAAAAATATTGTAAAAATAACATCATGACAAAATAATTACAGATTTCAATATTTCTGGGAATATTTTAAGAGTTCAACAATTTTGAAATCAAATTACAGAAATTTAAGATAAGGTATAAATAAATTTAAAGTCAGTCATGAAGTGAATGTTTAAATTTATAGCCTAGTATGAAACCGAAAAAGGAACATATGTAACCTTAACCGGTGATTAATCCAGGCATTTAATCTTGCCTCAAAGATTAGAAGTGTGCCATAAGGATAATTCGGCCACTTCTTGCCCATTTTTTAAGGCGTTTCTTCAGTTTGTTCTCGAATTAAAACATTTTTTCGTTTCTTTTTTCCTGCAATAAAAACCATTATTATTTACCGAATATGCCGTTGGCGAATAAGCACACGGGCATGATGGATGGATTTAGCAAGGCCCAGCTTGAATACTTGGGTCTGCAGACGTCGCTCCAAGAAGTCCTCGATTTTTAGACCCAATACATAATCGAGCTTCATATGGACCTCATTCAATACACCAATCCTTACCAAACGACGCAGTAGAGCATTTCCTGTAAGTACAAAAGAACTTCTTTCGTATTATGTATAGAAATGTAGAAAAATTTGGAAAAATTTCTTTTTTTAAATCCTTCAGAAGAAAAACGCTTTTTTTCTTCACAGAATTGTCTTTTCAGACAAGAGGTGTCAGCGTAATCACATCATATTATTATTTTAATTAATTTTATCGGTAATATTGAGAAGTAAACAATCAATTTGTTTACTGTTCGAAATTCCGGTACATTTAAATCTATAAAAAATGAATAAAATACAAGCCAACTTATATAATAGTAAAAAATTCATTGTTAAAACTTTCACCAGGGTATAATAATTTTTGTTCAAATTTTTATACAGTTTAAACAATATAAAAGCCTGTACTAAAGTTTAAAGACACATGAAAGATACAAATTTTACTCCTATAAAAGATTACATACATAATTATTTAAAATGCAAAAATTTTGTGAGAATCACAATTGTAGTATATTTTAAAAGATGAAAATTACAAGAGTGAACAAATTTTAGATATTGGTCAATGAAATTATAGATCCATTTTTTTTAGTTGATTCAAGCATAGTTTTATAACTCAGATTAACTCCAAGGTTTAACTTATTCTTTATCTCTTTCTAATTCCCAAATTGGAAAAAGAGATAAGAAAGTTGAACCTCAATTAAGGCTGGAATCAGACTACGCATTGGAAATTGAGATTAAAGATTAAAAATTAAAATTTGACCAAGAATAAAAAAATTTTTGCTCTTATTATTTTGATTGGCCAAATTTTAATCTTTCAATCTTTAATCTCACTGTTCAATACGTAGTCTGATTCCGGCCTAAGAGTTAACCCTTCCGTCCACTACGTTTTTTCGGCACCTTTCAGTCCACTACGGGGGTCGTTATCGTCTTGACGTTTTTTCGACCAGTAAAAGTGCTTTAAAAAATCTGAAAAAATTCATGGAACTTCTTTCAACCTTCAACTTGAAGTCCCAATCATAATATTTTGATAAAAATTATTTTTTTATATAGTTTTTATATAGCCTTCAGTGCCCGTTTTCAAAAGTTACAGCACTTTGAAATTTTGCTTGGGTCGAAAAAGACCCCCGTAGTGGACGGAAGGGTTAACTATGAATTGTAAAATTGAACTATAATATATACTTTTAAAAATTAAATAAATCGTGATTGAATTAACCATCGATTAGCATTAATTAAAGTTGGTAAAAGAGGCCCTGAGATATACAATCGATCCTCCGATTAAAATATCTATAAACATGTATATATGTAACGCATATCCACCTTCAAAGAGACGCTTTGGATCCTTCTCTTCCAACGTGAGCAATTCACGAGCAGCTTTACGAATCTTGGCCAGGGTATATTTTACCCTCCACACCTCACGTTTGTTACGGAGACCATATTCTCCGATAATACGTAATTCCTGATCGAGACGAGCTTTCTCGTACGGCCTTCTAGGCGTGACGTAGGTCTTGGAGAAGACCGACGGAATCCTTCCGTTAACCATATCGAAAGATAGTCACCTAAACAAAAATTATTATTATATGTGTACAATACGGAGATATCTACAAAGAAAAAAAGAAACGGATGACTCTTAAATTCGATAATTTCGCAAATAGAAAACGACAACCACCGAGTATTAACAAAGAGCGGAAAAAAGAACACGTGGTCGTGAAAATGTTTTGAAATTAGAATCAAGTGTTGGAAAAATAAAAATCAACTTCGATGTGACTATCACGTTCAAGTACATTATTTGATGCGCAAATAACATAACTATTTGTGGAAATTATTACTTACTTATAACAGCGTGAAGAAAGACGACCTTTCACATGGACGAACGTGACAAAAATGGCCGAACGCGCCCAAAAACCGGATGTCGACGCAGATTCGGAAAAGAAGAGAAGGGAGACAGTGTTGCCAATACATATCGATTCTCTCGACCCAGGGACACTCGAGAAAAAAGAAAAAAAAAACTTAAAACTTTCGGTTACGTTGGACGTAACAGAATGTATAGCCAATCAATATACAGTTTTTACGAAAAAACGGCAAATTGATTGGTTAAGCTCATTCTACAATGGGCAGTAGCAGTAGTGGATCGAATTCTGCCCATTGTAGATGGGCTTTACACGTTTCTCGGTCCAAGAACTCGCGAATAAAATATATTTATTTTAGAAAGAAACATTTTTTGTCATATTTTTTTATCATAATTAGACTAGCAGTAAAACAAACCGTTTTAAAACGTTATATGTATTTTTTAATATATTAAAAAAAATTATTAGTTATTCGATAAGTAGATTAACCATAAAACTCGATCATTAATTAACAAAATTAAAAAATCTCAAACTAACGTTTGCTATATAAATTTTTGTTTTTCCCTCTATCTTCTTCTTACAACTTGAATATATCTGAATATATTCGATATTCTCACTGCTCTGCGATACGCGGCAACTTCACGTTGCTCCACTCGCATTCCAATATTCCATTTGCGATTCGCAAAACAGAGATCAGAGTTGAGTGTGATGGCTAGTCGCTAGCAGTCGTTAGCTATTTTATTATCATAGTAACGATGTACAATCGCGTTCGTACGTGATTGATCGCTCCGACCGTGACGACGACGACGACGACGACGGCGACGACGGCGAGAACAAAGGTGCCGCGGAGGCACAGGCGAAACAGCTGATTGGCGGAGATTCGCGTCGTCCGAGTCCGGGTCACGGCTATCTCTAGTCGCAGGAAGCGGACCGACGGTCATGGCGAGTTTCGTACTCCGGGTGAAGACCAAATCGGGTCAAAAGGTCGTCTGTGGTCTCACGGCCCATGATAAGGTTTCTCAGCTGAAGGCGAAGCTCGTCGAACTCACGGGTGTCCCGTCGGCCGCCCTCCAGGTGCTAGCCGGCTTTCCACCGAAGCCCGTCGACCTGGATGCGCCTGACGCCACAATTGAGCACGCCGGAATTATCTCCGGTGATACTCTTATTGTCGAGGAGAAACAGGTTCGTCTTATCAACTCCTGAAAGTCAATTGTGTGTCTTGAAACAAGGTGAAAATTACAAAAATGAGCTAATTTACTATACTGAAATGAAATATTTCAGTAAAAACTTAAAATATTTTATTTCAAGTTTTAATAAATCACATTTGTTTGAAGTATCAACGAAATATAAAGAAGTACGAAAACTATTAATTTGATTTGATAATCTGTTTTTCTTTTGTTGAGTAAATATTTATTAACTATAAACAATTAGTTGGCAATATCTAAATAAATATTTATTAAAATTAATACTATTTTTCACAATGTATAATATTTATAATTTTATTAACCAATACCTAATAAATTTGTTTACTTTTGTACTTTTTATCTCATTTCAAGATACACAATTGACCTTTGGAAAACATAGAAAATGGTATTAAAAAGCATGTGGCTTTGCGATTCTTCTTTTTATGACGCTATAGATTTTTTTGCAAGTTTTTTCATTTAATGATTTACTCTGAATTTAAAACATTTACCACAAGATTACTTGCTCCTATTATTTCTCATGTGCCAGATAGGTTGTAGACTGATTTTAAGGTATTAAAATATAAGGAATTATTAGATAAAAAAAAAGAGGATTTTACTTTCTCGACTATCTACATGTTTAATTTAGGAAGGATCATAAGTGGAAACGTGATTTTGAAATGCTGTTTATTGCAAAAGTCTTTGTCATTCACATCATCATGTGTGTTAAACATTTTTTTAATAATTATTATACGACAATTTACATATATTTTATATCATTCTTCATATTTATATTAAAAATTTCGAACTTTAGCTTCAGAGACATCTCGTAACTTTAGCAGACTATTAAAATTGGACTAGAATTTAATGATCAGAAGAAAGCAAACCAATTAAAATTTGATAAACTGTTTTTTTTTTCAGATCTAAGTTTCAAGATTATTATTACCAATAATCTTATCTATTGTTTTTGTAATCTCATGTTATATCTTATTTTTCTGCTGTAGTCAAAATTATTATTATCATTATTATTAAATAAATGTTTTGAGACTATAATACAAATGCACAACATGAATTTTCAAATTCTTTTTGAGACATGAGATAGAGATACACAATATAGTGCCAAAATTAAAATTTGTACATGAGAGTCATAAACTGCAGTTGTATCTATTTTATTTGTGCGAAAATTATGGTTTATTCATTTATATTTTGCTCAAAGCCAATTCAATGTTGAAAGCTAAGAGAGGAATCTCTATGTGAATGTCACATGCAGATCGTGTTCAATAGACATGAGCAGAGACTGAACAATATCGGGCGGTCGCATATCGTCGACCAGGAGAACTTTGCCAATGTTCCAGGCGTCCTGATGAGGAAAGTAGTACCTGCGGACAATTCCTGTCTCTTTACCAGCGTGGGTTATGTCTTGAATGGTGAGCAAATACTTGTAAATAAAAAATTAGAATATATTGCATTTTACAAGAGATAATATATGTATATCCCAATAAATTCTTAAATTTGAAAATATAGGAAGGTATTAAGTTTGTATTTGTATATAATTACAATACTAAAAGTGCTAACATTTCTTACTAAAAGGATCAAGGAAGTAAATTAGTAAAAATGAAGACATTGATAAAAACTATTTCATCAATATAAAGAAAATAATTAGTGATAAGTCAAACAATATTTCAAACTCTTGTCTTTTATATAAGAAATGTAATATTAATTTTAATAATTCAGAAATGTAATTAATAATGATCGCTCCGTACTTCTGGTATTGAACTTATAGAGCAAATGTCATGCCTTTAAGAATCGTATGAATTAAATACACAGGCATTAAAAATATCAAAGCTAAATTAAAATTTAAAATAATAAGAAGAAAAACAAATGTTAAACTCAAAAACTGAAAATTATAATAATTTTTTTTCAGGCAAAGTCGATACTAGTTGCGCTAGTTTTATGAGGGAGATTATAGCAAACGCGGTAGCGGCAGATCCGAATGAATACTCTGAAGCATTTCTGGGCAGACCTAACGCTGAATATTGCGAATGGATTCTCAAGTCTGATGCCTGGGGTGGCGCCATCGAACTGTCAATTCTATCTAAATTTTATGGTTTAGAGATAGCGGTGATTGACAGCATTAATGCGATCATCAACAGGTTTGGCGAAGATCAGCATTATGCTCAACGAGTCTTTCTCATATTTGATGGAATCCACTATGATCCTCTCTACTTGGAACCTCTCAATGTAAATCTTTTCTACCAATACTTAACAATTTTCTGTAATCACAACTTCTGTAAAATTTTACATAATAAGGAAAAGTTAAATAGTGTTTTTTGGAGGTGATACTTACCTAGAAAGATTTTTTAACATAGAATTCTATATCTTTTGCAAATTTTACAGATTCGATTTTTAATGTATTTTTTTATTATATGTAGGGTGGCAGTATCCAAACAATTTTTTCCATCGAGGATGAGAGGATGTTGCTAGAGGCTGCCCAGCTCGCGAAAGAAGCAAGATCGAGTCGCCAGTTCACGGATGTTCAAAAGTTTACACTAATGTGTATTGACTGTAAAATCATGTTAAATGGACAAGCAGCGGCTCAGCAACATGCTAAGGACACCGGCCACAAGAATTTTGGCGAAGTAGCAGCGTAGCCTTATACAGCAGCAACTCTTATGATCTAACTGATCTAATTCTTTGATGATTATCCTTGACTCCAAACAGTATAGGGTGATATCTTACAGTCGTTTTTTTCACTTGAAATCGTTCGAAAATCTCGGCTTCTATCTATTTAGTCGTGCGCAATTGTAATTTTAATTCAAGCACTTATTGCAAATTCTTTGTATTAAGGAATTTTAACGGGGAAATTCTGTGCTTGAGGAACATGTGTGTGATATTTTTATAAATTATATTCGCAAATTATATATTATTCTATAATTATACATATATTCTAGGTTTAATAGTAATTATTATATTTTAACTGAGGGATTATTTTTTATTAATATTCCGAATCATATTTATATACAATATATATTGTTATATTTATACCAGAACAAAATTGTTACATTGTGTTGGAAGCAAAATTGTACTCCTGTTGTTTTTAGAATGTTTTATACTGTTTAGGACTGAAGGATTGCCGTTTTACAGCAAAAGAAAACGAAAGAGAGAGAGAGAGAGAGAGAGAGAGAGAACTAATGTCTTTTTCTACTGGAGCAAAGCGCTTGCAAATAGTAAGATTATCATTAATACGAATTCGTTTGCAATAAGAATTGTTAATGCGCATAATATACAAGTTACTGATTTTGATTAAACATTGTTCGTTATCAATATCTGCAATCCTAAATCGAACATGTTTGATAAAACATGCATTCAATCTCCCTGAATCTTCACATTTAATTGAAAAAGTAAAATTTGCAATTTTATCGGTTTTATATTTAAAATGCATGCTGCAATAGTATTCATAATCCAAAACTTAAACTTAAGATACCAATAAAATAACTATCATACATTTAGTAGAAAAAAAAATAGTTTTACATTGTAAGATTGTAAAAAAAATATGGTTAGTGATTAGTTACATATTTAAATTCAGTGCAGAATTAATAATAAGGACAAGAATCGACATTAAAGAATCTTGTAACAATTGCTTTACTATGATTGCGAATCATATTTTCAAATCTACATTTTTTTAGAAATGTTTTTCTAGATGTTACATTTTTAAAAACATTTAGATATAAATATAATTAAAGTAGCGCAACGTGCTTATTAAACTGCTTTTTTTTTGTTGAACATAGCTATTGATCGCAGAGTTTCAAGATCATATTAAGATGGAGGAAAAATTCTGCGGACTTTTTCTATAAAATTGAAAAAAATTCGACATTTATAATAATTTATTTAATCAATAATGTATTGATTGTTTTGATCTACAACTTGTCCAACGCTTCCGTAGGGCCTCGATGAGGCCTTGATCTTTGAAACTTGTGGGCGAAAAAATCAGCAAGGTGATTTCAGACGGCTTTCATTGTTAAACTGTTGACTGTCAAAACTGTTTTGCAGCGAGCGAAACAAGTGTAAAGTCAATCAGATGATGCAAGCTCCGGCGAATTTGGTAGATGCTGCATCGTTTTCCAGTCAAAGTTCTGCAATATTTTGTTCATGATGAAAATATGTGGTCAGACGTTGCCACGATGAACGGATGAAAGACCATATTCGACAATTCTACCAAATGTCTACTGTAGTGTAAGTTGTCAAAAAAAATGTAGCAAATTGGCATTTGAATGATATTTATTTTCGGAAGAATCCCATTTGTCTACATTCTCGATTGCACACATCACTCACATCGATCGGTGCCTAGTAACTTTTCCGTGCTTTACCAATGAGGTTGATATTATTTTTAAATTGGCCAATCAGCGAGCAATGTGTGCAATTGGGATTGTAGGTTGGGAATCGGAATCTTTTGCTGGATTCACGCTGCATCCGAATTTCGTCGTACGACGACTCTGCAACCAATCAAAAACCAGGATTTTGTTTCGTATCGATGATATGATTTTCCTGATTGGTTGCAGAGCATCGTATGACGCACATCGGATACAGTGGGTGCATTCGAGGAGCACGCTATTAAGCGCAATTAGTATCGAAGTGGTGTCGAAGACTGTTTTAGGAGATGCTTTTAGGCGCTATGAAACCGATGATGATGTCACTCTAAAGACGCCGTGATGTCATCATTCGTGCCATGGGATGGTGGAAAGAATATAAGGGCGCGTTCAGCGGACTTCAACAGTTGAGTGAGCGCTCACTATTATTGGTGCATTCTTCTAGATTAAAAATTCTGATTGATCTAAAAGAATACACCAATAATAGCGAGCGCTCACTCAATTGTTGAGTCCGCTGAACGCGACCGAGCTATTCCGGTGGATGCCAGAACTGATTGGTTGAACTGGTTTCAAGCAACCCCCCCTCCATGTCGCCATCATGCGCAATATCTCACCTTATATGCCTGGTTTATGCTTCAGGTCTTAATCCCAAGATCCTAAAATTCAACCAATAAAGCTGCCAGTTCTAACCGAAATTTGAACTCTATTGGCTGAATTTTAGGATTAAGTCCTTAAGACCGAAGCATAAACCAGGCATAATACTTCTGCTAATAATTTTAACCTGTTAGAAAGCGCACATTCCACAGTACACAGTTCTGATAGGTTAAAATTCTTACATTTAATATCTGTTCCTAATATTTCTCCTATTGTGCGCAGACCCTAAACGTTTGAAGAGCTCACTAACGCTATCGTGCTATTGGATCTCCAAACAGAGTTTGTAGCATTTGCGCGTCTATAGCGTTTATAGCGTCTCCTCGAGTGTGAATCCAGCCACAGTATCCAGCATTTCCCTTTCTCTGCTGAACGCAGCCAATGCTAAATAAAATGCATTCTCAAAATGTCCTAGCTAAGTGAGATCTTTCGTCTCTAGAATGAACAACATTTTCCATGGGATCTCTCGTTTTTTCAAAAGTTCAGGAACACAGTTGAACAACTGCACACCTGTGGCGCTTCAAGCGGAGTCTAGAAACGTAATCGGTTTTCCTTTGAAGGTTAACTCCAAGCTGAGCTCGTTAAACGGTTTGGTTGGTTTTGATCAGTTCGTTAGCAGCCTCGGTCATTGGTTGGTGTGTCGGTCGATCGTACGTCATGCCTATCGCAGTACGAATACATTAACTTGTTGTTGCACTCACGCGCACACACCCGTAGCAGAGACCAGGCCGGGGATCCATCCAGATCCATCTCGACGTTTCTTATCGTACGCGAGTGCCGTCGATCAGGGTATGTCGTCACGAGACCGTGCAATACGGTAAAATGTTACCACTGCTGGTCGATCAGGATCATTCGCTAACAACCAGGTGAAGATGGAAGTTGACGCTGACCTCAGGGAACAATTGTTTCACAACACTGTACGCGAGAACATAGTGAGTAACATCGCAAATACTCCTCCAAGAGTTGAAAACGCCCATCCTCTCAGAGTTGCACAGTCGAGTTTCCCGCGCCATCGAGCGCGCAAAAAAAAAATCGACCTCGTGGGTATACAATATACCGACTCCGAACCTGATGTTTCATGTGGGAATGCCACGGAGGTTCACGTCTTTCTCCGGATGTTTCTCATCGCGGATGTCGTCACACACTGTTGACCCCTCTGAAATTTCCATGAAGAATTGAACGCCTAATACTCATTATTTCTACCAACGTAGATTAACTAATCTAGGTTCAATTTACTCTTTCCAGGTTTAAAAATTATATTTAATTAGCATGCCTGTTTCCATCAATCTCTTTATCTTTTTCCAGATCTAAAAATTAGACTTAATTAGAATTCCCGTTTCTATCAAAATTTATCTCAGTTCAACTTACTCTTTATCTTCTTTGTAATTCTTGAAATTGAAAAATTTAAATTGTAAACCAAAATTAATCCATATTGATGGACAATGGGATAATGTCCAAGATTAAAGTTAATCTACCAACCTAGATTAACTTTGATCTTGGTTTAATTTACTTTTATCTTCTTTTAATTATAAGAATTAGAAAGAGATAAAAGAGTAAATTACTCGAGATTAAAGTTAATTTGTATTGACAGAAATGAACCTAAAATCACGAATTTAGTTTATACTTCATAACTTTTTCTAATTTCCAAACATAGAAAAATATAGTACTAGAAAATTAAGTTGAACCAAAATTAAATTGAATTGATCTATATTGGTAGAAATGTACCTAAGATAAAAAATATAACTTGTGCCTGGTTCTACTATATGTAATGTAGTTTCATTTTAATCTCTCAAGTGTTAACTCTTCACCTTTTTTTTTAGTTTTTAAGAAAAATGAGAAGAGTATATTGATTTGATAGAATCGAGATTGAAGTTAATTTACATTGATAAAAATGGACATAAGTATTGCATCCGATTGTAGATCTTGCAATCAACTCATTGGTCACAAAATCGCAATTTTCCACGTCATTGGCACGCAAAACCGAGCCTCACGGTTTGATTGAGGTCGTCTATCCAATTTCCAATTTGTAATCGCTCAAAAATGAGTTTGTAATTAGCGTGCGAACAATTAAACGACAAGATCGTCGTCTGCTCAACGAATTGAGGCTACAGCTTGCTTCGTTTTTAATTACTCAATCGCGAAAACGTGCTTTATCATTCATGATAACGTCCGTCATGACTGCAGCCGTTGGAAGCTCTGACGATTTTGCCGCTGTTTGTCGACGTCGATCGACAAACGGGGCCTACTTGTTTATTTATCTTAACGGGACAAATACCCGTTCGTCCTCGATTAATCGTGGCCGGTGCGAGATTTAAAACTATTCAAGTTTACAAGAGCATGTGTTTACAAGCGAGAGAAGGCGCCTCTCCTCTCTCCCCCAAATTAATTTTATTTTAGAAACAACTGTGAAATATTGCCAAGAAAAAAGATGATATTCCTCCTCCCTCTCGTGTAATGTTCTGTTTGTCTCTTTCTCTCTCTCTTTCTCCGTAGTTTTATAAATAAGGTACTCGACGAGCATCCTTTGTTTAATGCGAGGCATCGTTCGCTTATTAATCTTTTGTCATTTATTTCAGTCTCAGTTGCGCTAATATCAAGTGTAAATTTCCAACAAATTCGCCACTTGTGGATAACATGGATTTACATTCGCTTCTATCAATGTACAGGGTGTTTCACGAGAAATTGCTGAAACTAATCCAGTTGTCGTTTTTAAACCACTTAAGGAATAGGAAAAGAAAAATATCTTTTAATAGAAGACATTTGACATTTTTATTTATACATAAAATGAAGACAAATGGAAATATTCTATCATTTAATAGATGTTTATGAAAATATTGCCAATTTTAATGATAAATATTTTTGAAAGGTTAAATTTTTAATAATATTTAGTTTTTTTTAATTATAGTATCATTAAGAATTCAGCCTTTCAAAAATATGTAACATTAAAATTGACAGTATATTTGGCACTTTTATAAATACTAAATAATAAAAATATTTTTCCGATCGTCTCTTTATCTTAAAATAAAATAATAAAATAAAATATAAAATTGCCAAAAGTGGTTCCTATTACCACTAGGATATTTATTCTTCCTATTTCTTATGTGCATATTCCTTATGTGCGGATCGAGATCAAAGTTAATCTATTAGTAGTTAATCTATAGTAATTAATCTATATTAGTAGAAATTGACGCAGAGGAATCTAATGGCGAAATTTGACTTTGAATTTACGGATTGGAAGATAATCCACTGGGTCTGGAACGCTTCGTATATTGAGTTAAATATCTCTAGCTTTCCTTCTCGTTTCTCCTCATCATAAACTCGAAAACTAGCGGGAACGCGTGAACGGAGGAATTTCGATCGTTGATGACGTCTCGCACAAGTACATTCACCCGGCGTCGAATGCATCTTGTAAATCGCTGTCGCTCGATAGGTGTGCGAAGGAAGCGGGTCTTGTCGCCGGCGAACGCGAACGACGTCTTCGTTTTGCGAAGATTCCTCACGACTATGCTCCAAGAAACCGGTCGCTTCACCGAGAATCCTGAACGAAAAAGTCGAAATCGGCGATCTTTATAAACAAGGAAAAGAAAGATCAAAAAATGCTTTAGAAAAAAGTGTATAAAAGAGATGTAAGATGTAATTGTCTCTAAAGTAATATTAAATATTAAATCTCAAAATCTAAAGCACTGAAGAAATATGAAGTATAAATATTTTAAAATAGAAGTATAATAAGTGGATAATAATAATCATAATAATGTAAAATATATACGAACGAAATAATACGAACAATAGTAAGTAGAAAATGAACCGAGTGTGAATAATATATTTAATTACAAACTCTTTGTAACATAACATATGTCCGTTTCTACCATTGTAGTTTAATTTTGATCTCAGTTTAATTAATTCTTTATCTTTTTTAATTCTAACAAGGGAACGTACTATAATGCAGAAATTATATTAAAAAAAAATTAACATTACTAGTCTCAAAATCACGTTTAATATAAATAGGTATTTTAGATATCTAGACGATTAAATTTCGGGACCCTATGATCAACTGATTTGATTTATAAGACCTAAAGTCCTGAGTTTTTATTTATTATCAAAAACAGAATTTAAGAAAGTTAAGCCATTTCTGAGAAATATTGCAATAATCGGATAGATGGACACACAAATACTGAAAGTAGTTTACTACGCCTACTTAATAAAAGAAAGAATCCTATATTCGCACGCGATCGAAGAAGTTCTTGAAGTCTAATAAAGTATAAAATACGAAGAATTGAATATAAGAAAAAAGTATGTATAAGTAACAAGTATAAATTGAAAAATGCATCTCTTTTAAGATTTTAAATAAAGGAAAAGCAACATTAAAAAAACAACACTAGAAGAACATTAGAAAATAATTAAGGAAATATTAGAAAAAAATAGAAAAAATGTTTGGAAAAGATTAGACGTATTTCATGACAATGATTGTCTCTAATATATTTGATTAAAACTGATTAGATTATGAAATAAAACAATTTCTATCTGTTATATCAGATAGGACATGTGTTTATCTAATATATCTAGCTTTTTGGTAACATATATTCATCGACTTATACCTCTTTGGAAAGTTTCGTGAAAGCACGTACCACTTCCTTTTCGCGACCCACCTGGTAATCCAATTGCTTCGTTTCCGCGTTTAGTTGATCAGTCCGGAAGCAGCCGTCACGTACAATGAAAAAGCAAGAAACGAGATAAAGATTACGAAATACAGACGATAAGTCGTGATCAATATTTAAACTGCGCACAAATTTGTACACGAACGAGATAAAGCGTTCACGAATTGAAATTTCAAAGAACAATTTAATATTGTCTAATCAAACCCCTGGTTCCATTAAGCGCATGATGTATTATTGTCTTATCTTTGTTTAACATTCGGAGAACAAATATAAAAATGAAATGGTGTATTATCATTCACAGAGCATAATCAGTGAGAAGAAATGAGGAGTGTTAATATGAAATTCACGTGATTTTTCAGGGAGGGATCGAGAGAATTAAGTTTTCTTTTTCTCTATTCTTGTTTATTCAATTGTTTATTCAATTTTGTTATTTTATCACAAAGTTTAATTTCCTTTACTTCGAATTAAATAAATTAAATACGCTCGAAAGAAAAATGTATCTTAAAAAATATTTCTTTCACAGTGCAGTGTGTGAAATATGATAAAAAATAATATTAATTACTATATGTTTTCATTATATAAATTAATATTTAATTTAAATATTAATTTAATACATAATTTAATAAGAGAATATATAGTAATTAATATTATTTTTTATCATTTAAATTAATATTTAATTAATATTATTTTTATATAATATTAATTATATAATAATATATAATAATATAA